CCAGAGATCACAGGTCAGCAAACTTTTTTGGGAAAAGACTGGATAGTATTTCAGGCTCTGCTGACCATACAGTCTTGACACAACATCAGAGTTATGTCACCACTAGTCAAAGCTGTCATTCTGGGGCAAAGCAGCCATAAGCAAAACATAAACATGGCTGAATTCCCATAAACCTATTTCAAAAACAGGCAGCGCTCAGATTTGGCCTGACTTACCCTAGTCTGCAGACCCCCAGTCAAAATGAAATATTTTAAAAACAAAATATGAATATATCACTTGAAACAATACTCCCTTCCACATAAAGGATGAAAGTCCAACAAGTTGCCACACCAAAATCCTACAGAGCGCAATTCACACAGAAGGCTGTGCCATTTGAACTGTTAACTAGGTGAGCCATATCTCCCATGCAGAATGAACCTAAGCTCTCACTTCACCCAAACTCCCCAGGTTCCATAAAAAACTCAACTAGTGTCACTATATTCATCTCAACATATGTCTCCTTCAACATCTGGCCAGTGGTTTCTGATCTTCGCTAATGAAAATAAGTAAACCAAAGAGCTTTTTTTTTTTACAGGCCACGTGAGCTCCGCCCCCGGGGCCCCCAAAAAGCTTTTTAAAATGCTGATCCCATGGCTGCAACCCAGTCCCAATGGATTAGATCTCAGGCACTTTTCAAAGTTCCACAGAAACGTTGCAAAGGTTGAAAATTACTGGATTTTCAGTGAGTAGGATGGAGACCTGAGCATCCACCTTTTTTAAAAGCTCCCTGACTCCTTACTACACATGATCAAAAACGCTACCATGGAAGAGGCCTCTCTCTTAGCCAGGTTGCATCCCCTCACTGCTTGTGGCCTTGCTGTCCAATCCCAGGAGCTACAATGGGGACCTCTGACTAAGGAACGGGGGTCAAATTACTGCCTTGGCATGTAATAAACATTCAGGTTTTTAATGCATGTGTTCAATTCTCCAGGGCTATTCCCATCTACTCAAAAAGGAATAAAAATTACATATATATATATATATATACACACGAAACAGATATGAAGGACTGTTCTTTTCTTTACTAAAACCCAAACATTAACATTGACCATGCCAGCCAAAGAAACTACTTAAGTTTTAAAACAAAGTAGCATCCAATCTAAGCACTGATCCAATTCTCCAAGTCGAAGTATTTTATAACTATATGATACCACTACTAAAGCCACAAAGATATTTACATATCCTATGACATCATCACTTTTCCAAGAAAGTTTACTCCAGGAAACTGCATTTTTAAAATATGCTAATTAAAATTTCCTCTTGACTCCAATCCAAGCTGTATCCACAAAAAAAGGCTGGTACATACATAGCAGTACTTAAATGCTTAAACTACTGAATCTACAGGCAGTAAAACAACCTAATATTTTTTAAAAAAAGACAATCATAAAGACAGATTCACAAATTCTTACTGTTAATTGAATAACTTCTGTGTTCAAAGCTATAAAATTGTGATAAGTAGAAAATTTCAACCTAGAAACTGGTCTGTCTAGAAAATGATCCCATTATAATGCAGTAAAAACAAACCTAAATGAAATTAACGCACGGCATAAAAATATATAAAAAAATATTATACTGCAAGAGTGAAAAATAACATGTTTAATATATAATTACAAATTTATTATCAAAGAGCATGACTTCCTCTAAGAAGAAATAAGGTATGAAATTAAAATGACAGCTTCTAATTGATGAAGGGTTGGCATATTCTTGAAACTCTTAAAATATAATCCTATGTATGTTATAATATTATGATCAATTTGAAAGCTAACAAAAAAAAAAACATGATCAAACATAATACATCTTTTGCTACATTAAAAAATATATACTATTCAAGACAAAACAAGTATTTATTTTATACTCTGAAACAGATACTATTTGTGCTGGAATATTCCTAATAGGAATATTAGAAATAAGTGAGAGGTGGCATCTTAAAACAAACCAAGTAAACCTACATGATTCTTATTACTCAGGCAAGCTGAACACTTACCATGTGATTCCTCCCTTTACACTGAACAGGGAATAAGAGAAGCACATAAGAGGGCCTAATTTCAAAGCTTTTAAAAACAAAAACAAACATTAAAATTGTTTAACAAATTTTTCCAGAGACAGTTTTGAAAGTAAATGAAGAATAACTGATGCAACAATGGCCTCAATGTTTTTCTATTAACACAAACCACTTAAGACCAGTAAAGAGCTTTTGTTAATATTTCTTTAGTGCCTGATTGGCCTGATTAGTTTATACTAACAAGCATTACAAAGCTAGGAATCAAATAAAACTGAGACCAAAATGATGGAAAATTTGTCTATTCATAGTTTCTAATCTCAGAAATACCTAAAAATAGAAGAAGACTATGTTTTCCCCTCCATATTAAATATCACTGCTACATACTATTTTAAATGATTCCTTTCCAAAAAATTAAGAACATACTAACTCTGGGGTCTAACATGACTATTAATTAAAAAGAAAAAAATCACCAACTCCATCCCACTGTTCAGTGAACTTTTTCTGTAAAGAGTCAAAGATATGTCTTTTAGGTTTTATGGGTCACAAATAACTGTTTAGTAGTGTTTTTTTTTTCTTATCAAAACTTTAAAAATGTAAACACCATTCTCAGCTCTGTGGTAGAATGGTACAAAATGGATACAAAGTGGTGCAAAAATGGGAGATTCCAGGATATGTTTGCATACTTCTACTCCAGCCAAATTAATCTTATGATGCTTCAAATATGTAAAACATTCTTTTGATAACTAATTAAAACTCTATTAATGTTAAAATATTTAATCATCTAACTTTTCTGACAGCATAATCTTGTGAAACAATAAATGAGCTACTTCTGAAATTCCACTAAACCTGCCATACTTTTAAATACCTAATTTATTTATACTCAAAGTTCCCTGGCTATTACATCTTACCCACCATTAAAATGAATTTGAAACATTCCAATGTTTTATGTATTTGCAGGATTTCAATTTTAAACTTTAGCAACATTTCTAAATAGTTTTTGCATAAAAAGTCAAAACTATCTGTCCTTCATTAATTATGCCTACTACTTGAACATATTAAAAATACTTATTTAGGTTTTTAAAAACTGTGAAATTTCAAAGAATGAGAGTTTGTAATCAAGCTTTGGATGTAGCCAACTTAAGTTTAACAAAACATATTAATCATTTCCTTCTGGTCCCTAAATGACTTAAATCATTAGACACAGCTGCATATTTGCTCCAAGGACATAATGTTTATGCCAGAAAAATATTAAGAAAGCTAATCCCACCATCTTAACTATAGACAAGAACTTTAGAAATTGATATACTGAGGTACACAGAAGAACTAGGAACAATTTCCTAGTCATCAATGGAATGAAATAAAATTTCTCTAAGAAATGTATCACATGCACTTTTCTATATTTTAAGATTAAAACACTACTTGCTGGTTTTCAAAATTCACACATTTGGAGAATTTTTAAATTCCATGTTCTTTTAACATTGTAAAATATTCTCACATTGATAAATCCAACAGATTTATATTAAAATTTAACAGTGAAAAAGAAGACCACAATTTTAAAATGTCACTATGGAAGTATTATGTACCCAAGAGGAAAAGAGAATTGCAATAAAGCTAGAAATTACTCAAAAAAAATAAAAATAAAAAACCCAATGCTCAAAAAACGTACTCAACTAATTTGGTAATGGGATTTAAAAATCTATTAACTTTTAGTGCAACTTATAAGTAACAAAAAATTTTCTAACTGAATTTAAATGAAAATGTAATTTTCATTCAAAGGATATTTACTTGATGGAAGGCAAAATAAAAAGTTCTTGAACTATTCTACTTAGGATTTACTTTGTTGTATTCATTTTAATAGAAAAACCTTTAAAATTTTCCAGGGACAGAGACAGTCAGAAAAACAAGGCACTGGTGATTTGAATTAATACATTTAGCCTCAGAAACTTACTCAAGAATCATGGCTTTAAAACAGAGAAAAAAATATTGTTAAGTATTTTTTAGAGTGAGTTGTTAAGCTGGCATTCATCTAAGGTGAACAACGAGAGTCTGTGGGTTATAACACATTTGAAGTATCCTTTTTTGCCCTACCATTTTGCCTCCCTAAAACAAAAACCTGACTCATATAAAGTCTCTAGAACTAACTTCCAGTCTGTAAGAAACTCAGGCATAAAGAAACTTGTTGAACATCACTGCCAGGATATAATCAACAAGATCCAGGATGTGAAATATTCTATATGAGGGGCTGTTTCTTTAAAAATAAAAACAATAAGAAAACAATGAGAAAAAAAAAAAAGAAAGGAAACCTACAGACAGAAAAGAATGGATGCATCAACCCATTTGAAGAAACCAAATAATTTTTTTAAAAGATTGAAGACTTGGACAAATTGGAGCTTTTATTACTTAATATTAAGTAACTGACAACTTTTAAGGTATGATAAAGAAATTCTTTGAGAGTCCTTATCTTTTATAGGTCCACACTCATATAAAATTATATGAAGTCAAGGTTTACATACAAAAAATTTCTTTCAGGATTACTTAAAGATGAAAAAGATGAGCCAAGTACTAATAACTGTTATGGCTGACTAATAAGCATATACTATTCTACTTTTCTAGATGTCTAAAATCTTCCAAACTAAAGAACTGACATCACTTAATGGTGAACATAAGTCAAGTGGAGATGATGGGATTTATCAAGATTCCTAATTTAGCAGCAATTAAAAAAGATAAAGTGAAAAGAAGCAAAATTCAATATCCATTTCATAAAGCATGAGTATCTTCAGAAACTAATTTTGGTTTACTACCTGTAAGAGGTTAAGAAACTTGTTAGTTTATCATAAACATGAAGATTCAGAAAGATTAGAAAATACAGTACTATATAAAGCAGTATCTAAAGAATTCTAAGTATACATCATCCACCGGACAATATAAAATCACTTTAGTTAACTAGTACTTTACTTACATTTTCCATATAGTTTGGCTTAAAGCCCTCCTGCTGTCGCCTCAGCTCCTCCTGTTCTCTGTGTCGGATCATTTCCTCTTCACGACGACGGTGCTCTTCCTCATGCCTGAGAGATTTGTAAATAAAAACTCAGGGTGTGACATATAAGCCATAACTAGATATCTTATTTCAGGTAAAACAAAACCATTAATGTGTATCATTTATTTATACATTATGCCAGTCTCTGATAATAAGTGGCTTATCAGGTTTACCTTCCTCCTATTTTGCTCTAAACCTCTAATAAATCAAACAAACCAATGAAATGCTAATTATCTAGGGTAAATTTTTAAAAAAGTAAAATAACAGCATCCTAGTTATATGCTTACAGTCAAAAAAATCCAGCCTCCAAAAGCTCAAACCAGTACTCTATTACAGAACGAAGAAAAAGCCTGAGATTCACCACTGGCAAAGCAGTTTGTACCAACCACTGCAAATTACCACACTGCTGAGACAAAAATCCTACTATGTACAGAAGGAAGCCTTCATAAGCCCCCTCTCCCTCACTGCATCAACCCACTGAGGAAATCTGGGAGCAGGTATCTATGTACCACCTACAAATTTTTGTAAATTTTGGAACAATCGTTCCCTCACTGTCTGTGGCTACCTCTGGGTTAGAGTACTGTTAAATAGTTGAGACAGAGACCATATGACATGGAAAGCCTAAAATATTCACGAAGGAGACTTTTCCCAGAAAAAGTTTGCCAACCTCTGCCCCAGAGGTATATTCAAGCATGGAACAACAAAAACCCAGTATGGATGTGAACGATTACTATTAAATAATAATTAGTTGTAATACGATTAAGAGGGAAACCCATAAAATATTAATATTGAAAATATTATCTAATAATATTGAAATATATTGAAAATATAATATTATTTAAGACATCATGCTATTGAACACTTAAAAGACTACATATAGTATAAAGGTGACTCTTTATTGAGGTATTCTCTTGATTGTGGTAGCCTGGAACCAAATCCACACTAACGCTGATGTATGCCTGTATTACTGCAGTATTCACTCCTTGGTACTTTTCTCTCAGGCTCCTTTCCCATTTATTTGGAATTCTACTTCTAACAACTAAGGAAAAGCTGTCCATTCTCCTCCATTTATTTACTTATTCATTAAATTACTTTTATCAGCACAGACTCATGGGTATTTGACCTGAGTAAATATCATTTGACAAATGTAAAACCTATCATTTCTTATTTTGTTGTTGATATTGTTCCAACTTTGGCCTTTAGGAGCATCTTCAGTTTAGCTCCTGTGTTCTTTCAAAAGGCCTGAGCTTAGTTCAAGGACTTTCCTTCACTCTGGCACAACATCAGTCAACTTGGATTTTTTAATACTGGAATCAGCCACTTTTCCAAAAAGCCCTGGTTCCTTTTATTGGAGAATGATATTCGGAAACAAAAATCTGGCATTATTCCCGAGGCATCACTGCTTCTGGGTAGACAGGGCTAGGAAATATATATATGTATACATATGAACCCACATATATACACATCTGTATTTCTGTATTTGTCTAGACTAAACGGCATTCAGTTCACACTCTGATCCCCACCGAACATGACAGGATTCATTTTCATCTTAGCCTTTCCGCCTTCTTTCTTTCTCTAATAATGAGAAACCTCAGGTCATATTTACCTAATTTATTCATTTAAGAAAGTATATACATTATTTTCAAATAAAGTCTTGATCAAAAAGGGAAAAAAGTAGTTTCAGAATTGCAAACCTATATCCCTATATATTTTTTTCATTATGTTTTATCACAGGATACTGAATATAGTTCCTGCACTATACAGAAGGACCCTATTGTTTGTTTATTCTATACATAATAGTTTGCATCCCACACTGCTTACTTTTAATTGCTTATTATTTCAGCATAAGTAAGTATAGGGCACTAATTCTAAAAGCCTAGCTGTAAAGGATAAATGTAGAAGGAGAAAGCTAGATTCAGAAAGGTTTATTTTAGAAGAGAGGAGGTTTCCTTTTATTTGGACAAGTAGAGACTTAAACACAATTACATAAAACAGAAAAAAGCAGTAAGAAAGAAATTGAGGACGTCCCTGGTGGTAAAGAATCTGCTTGCCAATGCAGGGGACACGGGTTCAATCCCTGGTTCGGGAAGACTCCACATGCCACAGAGCAACTAAGCCCACATGTCACAACCATTGAGCCCGCACCCTAGAGCCTGTGCTCCATAAGAGAAGGCACAACAATGAGAAAAACGTGCACCGCAATTAGAAACTAGCCCCTTCTCTCTGCAACTTGAGAGAGCCCACGGGCAGCAACAAAGATCCAGCACAGCAATCAATCAATAAATAAAAATTGTTTTAAAAAAAAGAAAGACATTGAAAACGGCCCCTCGGGAAAGGAGTTAATTGGGGAGTTTCTTTTACAACAGTGGTTTCCTAACTTTAGAATGCCTCAGAGTCACCTGGAGGGTTTATCACAACACAGGTGAGTCAGCTTATGACTCAGCAGTACTGAGGCTAGGATGCTGATGCTGCCTGTGAAGTACTATGAATTGAGAGTAAGCAGGTTAGAGTAAAATCAGAGTAGTCCTAATATAGAAACATACATACACTGATACCATCAGGTACAAAGTTGGAAAAAATACACTATACGAACAACTATCTATCTCCAGACCATGAGGACACTTCAAACTCTTTAACAGTTTTTCACTTTTATTTCCCATGATCACCTTACTTCCCATCACAGCACTTAGTACTTTAACAGCACTTTCAAAACAAAATTTTAAGCTTGCTTTAATCTATCATAGCTGTGCTTACAATTCCTAATTAAGACTGTTGAAACATTTAAGAGTAATATTTATCTTGTATTTTACAATTAAGTCTTGCAGATGCAAGAAAAACAATTTTTCTTTCCACATCTTAGATCAACTACTCCCTTAAAGCTCCTTCCTTAACCTAAAAGATTTTAAGTTGCCTGTCACAGTTGTCTATCATGTACTGAGATCTCTGATGCCCATATCGTTTTTACCGTGGATTCCACCACCATATATCTTTTTTAAATAAATTATCAGAAGTACAAAAATGCATAATGGCATTCAGACCAGTCTTAAACACATGGAAAAATCAAAACTAAGAATGCATATATATGCACCTATAGAAAAATAGTCCAGTAAATCACAGTCCATTTTTACAGTAAATTATATGAAATAATGCCTAAACCCTCTAAGTTCAGTGTCTGCGAAGTGTCTACAACTAACTAGAAACAATCATATTGAGACAGAATAATGAGTTATGGGAGATTGTTAGTAATTCCATAACTGTAGTCAAAAATGGACAATTTTGGTTTTTTTTCTGTATTTTCCAATTAATATTAAATACAACTTGTCAATAACAGACATTGGAGTTTTATTAATAATATACGCAATAAAAGCTACATATATTCACATATATGTTATAATGATGTTCTTTACCTCAGCTGTATTTGCTTTCGTTTTTGTAGCTCTTGGTTTCTGAGTTCTTCCAAACGTCTGAGTTCCTCTTGACGTCTCATTAAATCTACAAAATATTGACTACAGATTAATATTTTTAGCTTTTTTTTCTGTATTTTTACATCTATAAGCATACAGGTTCTCCATGACTGGCAATATATGTAGTAACTTATTTATACTCATGCATCTAGCGTCTCTTTTTAAAGTCTTATCGCATCATTCTACAATGAAAGATTATAAGCTGTGTAATGAACCAGATCAATATCATTCCTCGGCCCATTTCTTCAGGTATATGAAGAAAATAATATCTACCCTTATGCTAAAAAATTAAAATGGGTAGTAACTGTTTTAACACAGGGTCTAGAATGAACAATAGCTACATTTTCATTTACATAATCTTAAGCAAATTGTAATTTTTTTCAGCAGCAAGCTTGAAGCCCAAAATGATGCCTTGGGAAACATCAGCAGAGGGCACATTAAGTATCAGACCAGAAACAGTAGGAAAAATGGGATAGGACATAGCATAAAACCCCAAAACATCCCTCCCAACACTATCAGCACGTTTCCTCCTGCATCAAGTCAGCGTCACATGAAGAAAAGAGGGAACAGTTCCTGAAAGGGGAAAAAGGGCTGAACACTGATGTGAACAAGCCCACTTTAAACAGGAGGAGCATTCCCACTGTCACCAACCCATGTCACATATTAAGAACAAGTCTCTCAGAGTGAAGCAACACAACAAAAGATGCCCATTTGAAAAGCAGTGGATAAACTTTCCAAGTGTTAAAATATCTTTGTACTATCCTACCAAACTATATGTGCATGTATGCACTAATAAATATATTTTAAAATATATATAAGTACTCCAGATAACACAATTATTGGTTTTCTTTTTTCTATAACTATGTTATCTCAAATTTCTAAAATGAACATAAATTATCTCAAACATTTAATAAAATACTATATTCAGAATTCTTATAATACTAACGGTTCAAGTTAAAATCCCATAGGCAAATAACTCTAACATCTTAACTATGACAACATAGGTATCATAATTATAAAAAGGTAATATTATCCTCCCTGAAGGTTAAAAAATATTGAATTATGTATTATGTCAACAAAAAAAGATCCAGACAGATTATGTGGCTCTAGTCACCCAGGCATGATATGGTTCACTGGGATATATAGCCAAATCTCTCATTATTCCAAAGCTCCTTCCAAAATGCCACATTCCCGACCTGGATGTTCAGTCTCAACTGAGAAACTAAAAAAACAAAAATTTTTTTAAAAATTTGGGGACTCTGCTCAAGGAAAGTCTGCTTTGGTACATGCACCAGGAACCAGGTGATTCAGATAACATGCCAGTTGAGAAAAACATTTAGCTTTCTAAAAAACATGATCTTCAAACATATTTACCATTAACTGTCAACCTTACTAGCTCATTAGAACTGCTCAAGTGCCTTTTAACAACAGACCAATTAAATCAAAATCTCTAGGACTGTGAACCAGCTATGAGTTTTTTCTTTTTTTGAAGCTCCCTAGATGACTCCATTGTACAACCAACATTGAGAGCCCCTAACTGTCATAATTTCTATATGGTGAGACTGGTAAAGACCAAAAATATAGCCTATACATATTCCTAAGGGGAAATGCTTCAATAAGACAAAACATGAGAAATATCTTACTATCACTAATTAAGAAAGTCAATACAGTGTATCCTGTAACAATTTTATTATTGATTTTCCAGGTCTGCTGCTCTTAAACCAGGAACATACATAGTAATAAATGTAAAAATATGCACTATATTTTCTTCCATGAAAAGGAGTAAGAAAAGAGCCTGAATATTTCTTGAAAACTGGATCTCCTCCTTTTAAGCTGGGCCAGTTAAGAAAGCTGCTTTGCCCTCTCAGACTGTGCTTCCTTACCAGAACAGGGTACAAGAATTAGCTCAAAGGATCCGACAAATTATCTGATAAGCACACTATCTAATAGGAAGCAGGAGCACGATCAACTTAAAACAACATTTTGTATCTTCCAAATTAATTCCTTTAAGTTGCTAATACCCACAGTTTCTGAAATTTCACAAAAAGTTATATATCTTTATGCCACCATGATAATGTACTTCTGGAGGAAAGTATTACCCCAAAAATATGTTAACCTCAGGTGTTTTTTATCCTTTAATCCAGTAAATAACACTCACAGGAATTTTTCTTAAAAAATAATAATAATATTAATAATCCAGGAGGCTTCCCTGGTGGTCCAATGGTAAAGAATCCGCCTGCCAATTCGGTGGACACAGCTGTTCAAACCCCACTCCAAGAAGATACCACATGCCATGGAGCAACTAAGCACTTGCACCACAACTTCTGAGCCTAGAAGCCACTCTAGAACCCGCAAGCCACAACTAATGAGCACCTGTGAGCCACAGCTACTGTAGCCTGTGTGCCCTGGAGCCCATGATGTGCAACTAGAGAAGTCAACACAATGAGAAGCCCACACACCACAACAAAGAGCAGCCCCTGCTCACCGATACTAGAGAAAGCCTACATGCAGCAACGAAGACCTAGCGCAACCAAAAGGAATTTTTTTTAAGATTAAAAATATAAATAAAATAATGAATATTAAAAATAACAGGCAAGAAGAGTTACTGACTGGAGGAGGAAGAGAAGATAGGAGATGGTAGAGCTGAGGAGTCGTCAGCAATAGGAAACAGGGCAAGCTGCAATTTCACTCACACTTGATGTTGATGGAACACACATTCACATCATTGAAAGCTTGCAGCTTGAAGATTCCTACTGAGAGGACTTAACGTATATCTTTAAACATACTAGTATATGATATGAATGAGTTAAATTTTATTAGGAAAAGAGTGACTTTACAGAAACATTAGGCTTAGGGTACCAAAAGAAACCAAAAATATCTGTCTGGTTTCTACTGTTTGATGAGCTGGATTTTAACTTACTTGGCACCAGCAGTTATTCAGTGACTTAGCTGAAACTGCTTCAAAAACATGTACTAATTGTGTTAGTCGCTCAGTCGTGTCCAACTCTTTGCGATCCCACGGACTGCAGCCCACCAAGCTCTTCTGTCCATGGAATTCTCCAGACCAGAATACTGGAGTGGGTTGCCATTTCCTTCTCCAAAACATGTAATGAACAGACTGAAAAAAGCTAACCTGAATTTTATACTGAAGAAAATGAGAATCTACCACATAAAGATTTACAGATGAATGCTGACCAAATGGCTGATTCATGTCAATGCATGGCAAAGACCACTTCAATACTGTAAAGTAATTAGCCTCTAAAATAAATAAAAGAAAATACTGGGGAGGTGGGAGGGGGGATCGGGATGGGGAATACATGTAAATCCATGGCTGATTCATGTCAGTGTATGGCAAAAACCACTACAATATTGTAATTAGCCTCCAACTAATAAAAATAAATGGGGAAAAAATAAAAGAAAATACTGGCTCTAGTATAAAGAATAGTTTAGAGGAGGCCAAGATTAGATGACATAAAGTCCAATAAGAAAGCCTCTGCAAACTTCTCTGGTGGTCCAGTGGTTGAGACTCTGTGCTTTCAATGCAGGGTGCACAGGTTCAATCCCTGGTCAGGGAACTAAGATCCCAAATGCTGTACAGCAAAAAAAGACTAGTTGAGTCAGTAAAAATATTTTCAACTTCATAAAAAATAAAAACAATTTATAGATAAAAAATGAAAGAAGGTTGCCATAGAAATCAGGCAGCTATCTGGAGCACCTCTGTTTCTGAGGGGCAGCCAAGAAATGGTAAATAAAGGTTCTGTTGTTATTGTTGTAGTCATTACGTCATGTCCAACTCTTTTGCGATCCCATGGACTGTAGCCCACCAGGCTCCTCTGTCCATGGGATTTCCAGGCAAGCATACTGATGTAGGTTGCCACTTCCTCCTCCAGGGGAGATAAAGGTTTAATGAAATAGTAAATTTAAAAAAAAAAGGCAAAAAATTTAAGAGCAAACTAGAAAGCAATTAGACGCTGTAAAGAAATGCAAAATTTTGGCAATTCCCTGGTGATTCAGGGGTTAGGACTGCACACTTCCACTGCATGAGCACAGGTTCATCCCTGGTCAGGAAGCTAAGATCCTGCAAACCACACAGCACAGCCAAAAAAAAAAAAATTTAAAGGAAAAAAAATTAAAAGTTTTATGGAAAATGGAAAAGTGATAGGAAGAATCAGAAAAAATTACATGGAGAATTAATAGAAAAGAACAAAGGGAAAAGAGAATATAAGCAGGCATAATAAGAAACCTAGAAACAAGGATGCAAAAAAATAAGCTTCTGATATATACTTAAGCAGCTTGTCACATTAAGTATCTGACCAATGATTATTAATAACTGTATGTTATGCATAACACCTGTTAGGAGTGCTCTTAAAAATTCAGTTATCAACAAAAAAACACACACAAACAAAATTCACTTAGCTCTGTCTCAAGTGTTTAAAGCGTTCTTACCAAATACAAAGAATTTACTCTTCCTAAATTCCCATATCCATCAGCAAACCTGAATCTTTTTCATCTCTGCCAAGGAACATCCATCTGTAATCTTTGGACACGCAATAAGAATCTTAAATAGTCAGCTTTTTAAATAATTTTGTTCATAAGGAAGTTCTCTCAGAAAAGCAAAAATTTTCTTTCTAATATTTTGAGTTTTAACTGTCTTGAAACTCTTAACTAGCAACTTCAATAGTAACAGTTATCAATGAGAAACATACCTTGCCGCATGAGCATCAGCTGGTGCTCGTGCCGGGCAGCTTCCATCTCCGCCTCCAGTTTCTCTTTTGCTTCTCGGATGTTTCTGTCAACCTGCTCGCGCTGCTGCTTCTCCATTTCATCCAGAGCTTTCCATCGAGATGCATATTCAAATTCAAATGTCCCAGGCTGAGCAAAACGTGGTGGCTGTTCTCTTTCCCTAAGTTTACATGAAAAGACATACAGAAACATATGTTTAAAAGCTACAACAACATAGAAGAACAACAAGTATTACCATTAACTAAGCTCGTACAGTGTTCATATCACTGTCTGACAAGGAACCTCCAAGAAATACTTCACAGCGATGTTGTCAAGCAGTTTAACAAGCCTAAGTTTAAGAAACTACCCAAAGATGCCCAACTAATTAATAAGCAATAGAACCAGGATTCAAACCAAGACAACGAGATACTACAACCTGAACTCCCCAAATTATCACCTCCAATAAGGCCTTTGCGGTTTTCAAGCAACAATTGTATATAAGGCAGTCTGTAACATATGAAGAAAATGTCCCCCAAGTTAACAGTCTGAAGTCAGATTTTTCTAAAAGTAATAACTTTTAGGGACAGTAATAAAGCAGAAACAGTTTGTTGAGTGTTATGTGCCAGGTTAATTGGCTATACCAAATAATACAGGCCTAATTTACTTCAATTTGTTTTATACTTGTTTGCCTTGATAGACGGTAAACTCAATGAGCACATGAAATTCCTATTAACCACTGTACCTAAGTACTTAGCACATACCTAGCATATTGTACACATTTAGTATTTATTTCTAAAATGAATGAATAAATGACAGGGGAAAAAAATCTTTGAAGATTTTTTGAAGATGAAGATCTACGAATGTACCCAACATTCAAAGAATGTCAATTATCCTAAAGTACTTTTGTAAGAACACAATTCTCACCCACCAATAAAACTACAGATGCCTTGTAATCATAAATTTTAACTTTTATTTGGGGATGGGGAGGGGAAGATGGTGGTTGGGACAAAGTTGGGAGATAAAGGAGGAGGTTGTCACAGAGGGAAAACACAGTGACAAGAAACAGCTTCAAAGATATTCAGGGGGTAGATAAAAATCAAAGTTAACCATGATCAAGGGATTCTAGACCTAAAAATAGACTTGGATCTTTTTCTTTTTAAAGCACTGACTGAAAAAGGGAAAGGAATAGAGAGATCCACCACCCACTAATTTTTCTGAAAGAACTGTTTTATTACTTAGTAGTTCCTAAGTCAGGTGTTGACTACAGTAATAAATATAAAAACTTTATTTTTCTCCCAAAAGAAACACTACTGAAACAATATGGATTTGGGGCATCAGAGCTGAATTTGAATATTGACTCTTAAGGTTCATGAACATTTCCTTCAGAGCATAATTCTTTAGCAGTAAAGTTTAAAATATCATGAGATCATGTAATGTTTGCTGGAATAATTAAGTCATTATATAAACAAGTTTGGTTTGGGTTTGCTTTTTTTCCCCAATAAAACAACTACAATCTATAAATTCTACTTCTTCTAACACCCTTATAATTCCAGTTCTCTAATTCTTGAATGCAAAAGGATGCTCTACTTAAAATCTGCAATAAGCTATAACTACAAATCAAATGAATAGGAAATTAAATGTAAGTCTTTGAGAAACAGCATTTAAGAGAAATTTACATGGTTGAGTTACAACTGATTACTACCAACCCCTTGCTTCTAGGACACATTCTGCTGGGTGTCCCTCCCATTTCAGGGACTGCTCCCACTCAGTCTCTGTTGATTCCTTTTGACCTTCCCAACTTCTCTCAAATGAGCATTCAGGAGTTGGTCCTTTGACATTCTTTTCCATCACATTGGTAACCTAAGCCCAAACAGCACATCTGAATTCCAGACACAAATCCAACTACCTTGACAACAGATCCCAAAACAAGGTTCCTGATCCTCCTCCCCCAAATCTACTCCTCCAGGTTCTCCATGTCAGTCACTAGCAATCCATACTTTTCAGTTACTTAGGCCAAAAACCTCATCATCACCCTTTTAACTCTCTTTCTCCCATATCCCCATATCCATCAGCAAAATCCAATCTATTTTCAAACCACATTCAGAATCTGACCACTTCTGGTCCATCACCACAGTTACCATTTCCTGTCAGCAGGATCCTAAACTTACCTCCCCAATCCCACCACTGGCTCTTTATTATAACAGAGCAGCTAGAAAGCTGCTTTAAATTTAAGCTTAAATCACTATCCTGCTTCTTCCTTTCACATGAATCACAGAAGCCAAAGTTAGTTCAATAGCCCACAAGCCCCACAGTCTGCACTCCTCCCACTACATCCTAACTCCCCGGATCCCTACAAGGTTCCCCATTCTCACCCTGATCCAGTTAACCTGGCCTCCTCACTGCACCTGCACCATGCCAGTTCTCCCTCAAAGCCTGCAGAGCCGTACTCCTCAGCTGACTGAGATCCCTATTCCATCTGGTGCCCTCCCACCCCCGAGTTCAAGTTGTGAATCAAATACTACCCTCACAAAAGCTTCCTAAACCACCTGTATAAAAGAGCCACACTCTTCTGCTCCCCTACATCCACTTTCCCTATCTTTCTGCCATCTTTATTGTTTACCCCCTGCTTCCCAAGGGCTTCCGTGATAGCTCAGTTGGTAAAGAATCTGCCTGCAACACCAGAGACCCTGGCTCAATTCCTGGATCGGGAAGATCTGCTGGAGAAGGGATAGGCTACCCACTCCACCACACAGCAAGAATTTCTGGTTTATTCTGTTCATTGATACATCTCCAACACCAGTTAAAAATAAGCACCCAGGGACTTCCCTGGTGGTCCAGTATTTAAAAATCTGTCCTGCAATGCAGGGGACGTGGGTTCAATCCCTGGTCAGGGAACTAAGATCCCACATGTCGTGGAGCTACTAAAGCCCTCGAGTCACAACTGTAGAGTCTGTGTGTCACAATAAAAGCCAAATCAATCAATAAAAAAGCACCCACATTTGTCATTTAAATACAACTACAAGGGAAAAACCAGTCTACACTAAAATCAAAGAGTGCTATTAAAACATGTGTAAAATGTTATTTTGAACACAAACTACCAAATCTTAAAATCATAACCATTTTTGGGTCAGGATGAAGAGAAATACTTTTATGCATACACCAGAAAGTATAAATTGGTATCATACTTTGGGAGAACCATCTACCATAATTAATCACCATTAAATATGCATACTCTTTTGATCTTTTAGCATCATACCTCACTTTAGAGGTTTTAATTGGTGTTTCTCACTACTTAGTATACTTATTAAAACATTAATCTTTGGTTCAGTATTTATTGTGTAGACCTGTCACTAGAATTGTAAGCATCATGAGGGCAAAAACAGTTCTCAGTTGCACTGGCAGCATCTAGGACAGTGCCTGGCACAAAGGCGTTCCAATATTTAGATTCATGCACGCAAATATTACAGTGTTTTTTGTTTTTCAGTCATGCCACAAAGCATGTGAGATCTTAGTTCTCTGACCAGGGATCAAACCAGCGCCCCCTGCTTTGGAAGCACAGAGTCTTAACTAATGGGATCACCAGGGAAGTTCACTATAGTCTTACTTAACTATAAAAAACAACTGAGTAGTTAAGAACACAATGTATTCACACAGTCAGCTTACATAAAAATATCTGAACCACACTGAATGAAAAGCAACTAGTAAAAAAATGTTATCTTTCTTTTTCATCTTTAAGAATTCTTTGGAGAAGGAAATGGCAACCCACTCCAGTATTCCTGCCTGGAAAAATTCCACAGACAGAGGAGCCTGATGGGCTGCAGTCCATGGAGACACACAGACACACAGACACACACACACACTTTGGTAGATACCACAGATTAATAAATTTTTTTAAAAAAGAATTCTTACCCTTTCCCAAGTTGTTTAACTAGAACCTTCTTCCTACTCCTGCCAAAGTCTCCTCTTAATTCATAATTCACCTGTAGCATACTCAATACAGAAACTTTTGTATCTAAAATTCACTGTTTCTCTGGCATAGGTACTACAGACAGTATACTCTTATGGAACCCATCCATGCCCCAGTTATAAAAGTTGAACTTTTCAAAGTTAACCTTTTACCAATATACTCAAGAAAACTAGCATTCCATGTAGACCAGCCCACTCTATTAACCAGATTGTTACTGGCTAACAACTGTTACTAGCTAACAAGACTAAATAGAACACCTTATAATCCAACAATACTCAATAACAAATGTAAAGTAATAAATACCCTTGAAAGAACATTCTAAATTTATCAGAATTTATTTTCTTATTAAGAAGATCTTACTTATGATACTGCTGAGTTTTCTGCATTAGTTTCTCTGGCAAGCCATCTTCATCATCAAACTGTTCCATGGGCTCCACAATGACCGGACGAGGGGTCCTGGACAGGTAAAAAGCATTAATAAGAATTAATATAGTATCTAGAACTAAAATCCTCTTAGAAACCTTTTATAATAATTTCAAGATACATACTTGGAAAATTTATCTGAGAAAAAAGTCTCAGAAAATATCACATATACACATAAAATCAGTCAATAAACACTGGCTGCACCAACACAGGTGAACATCTAAGTCAAAGATGAGTGCTTATTTTTAGAGCATGGAGTCTATTTGAGACAACAGAAAAATACATCAACATAGACCTGCCTGACCACTGCAGTTAACTTCTACAAAGAGCAATGCAGAGGAGCAAGTATCCAACTCTCCTATGTGTCTCATCCACACACACACCCGGACGCCCATCCCTTCCATGGCCTCAAACTCCCAACTCCACTCAGCTCCCAACCTTCCACTGTCCAACCAGTCTCAAAAGGAATACTGAAGCAGGAGAAGGAAATGGCAACCCAATCCAGTATTCTTACTGGAAAATCCCATGGACAGAGGAGCCTGGTGAGCTTCAGTCCATGGGGCTGCAGAGTCGGACACGACTGAGTAACTTCACTTTCACTTAAAATCACTGCAATAGTGACTGCAACCATGAAATCTAAAAATTTTAAAAATTAAAAATAAAAAAAAAAGAATACTGAAGCGGATCACCACTTCCTTCTCCAAGGGATTTTCCAAACCCAGATCTCCTGCATTGCAGGTGATTCTTTACCATCTGAGCCACCAGGGAAGCCCTCAAAACTGTATATAAATTATTCTTTTTTTATATAAAACATTTAATTGATTGGTCTTTTTGGGTAATCTGATGCATCACCAGTGTATTACAACTGAAACACTAATCTTGTAGCTTTATCAACATTAACTGGTATATTTTCATGACACTACTGAGAAACCAACTGTTTCTGCAGCAGCTCCAAGGAAAGGCCTTTTGAGAAGTTTGTATGTTCCTCTTGTTTATCTACAAAAGCTTTATTCACTGTTAACTTTTTCAGCATTCACAATGTTTATCTTCTTAAAGATTAGTGGCAATAGGTTTTACTTTATTTTTAACCTTAAAGCTTTTTTGGCCAGTTATGTGGAATACATTCCTGGACTTCTGCTCTCTTAGTTTGTTCTTGGCCATCATCAGACCTCCAAGATCCTTGTGCAGCTGCTCAAGTTCCAGGTGATACCATCTGAATGTCATTGACTCACTGGAAAAGACCCTGATGCTAGGAAAGATTGAGAGCAAAAGAAAAGGGCAGCAGAGGATGAGTCAGCATCACCAACTCAATGGACGTTAATCTGAGCAAACTCCAGGAATTAGTGAAGGACAAGGAAGCCTGGCATGCTGCAATCCACAGGGTAGCAAAGAGTCTGACACGACTTAGTGACTGAACAAGAAGAAACAGTTAAATATTTATCAGTGCCTGACTATGACTTTAACAAACAGCAATTAATCAAAGCTTACAGCAGAAAATATATACTAACTACATGCCTTGCCTACTGCCTTCTACTACTGCCTTCCTTCACTCTTTAAATAACTATGGCCAACTTACTAAGTATCCAGGAAATACCAGAATTCAAGTGTCAGGATTATGGTGTTAAAGGAGACAAAGTCCCTACCCCAGGGGAGCTTACATTCTAGGTAGAGAATGCAACCTTAAGTGCTATGAAGAAAAGTTAAGTTGGAGAGTAAAGCATTAGGCTATTTTAACATAAAACAGTCAGCTTCCCTTAGGAGATAACATCTTACCAAAACGTGAATGAAATGTGAGAGCAAGACCTGTGATGACGGGAAAGAGAGCATCTCTCTAAAGCAAAGGGAATGGCGAAAAGACCAAAATCTCTAAGAGAACAAGCTGGCAGAGCTGTAAAATGTCTGCTGTACAAGAGCTTCAGCACAAATGCTTAACTGTCAAAAACAAACTGAAAAATGCTTCACAAGTCACCAAACTAAGCTCCTTGGAGATAGAAAACAATTTTTCTACATTGTCTTTGTATCCAATTCCCCAAACCCTAAATATTTGAATGATTCCAATAATAGTTCAAGTGCCAGAGCTAAAAGAAATCCATTCAATAATCAACTTAGGAACTTTTACAAATTCAGTCTGAAGACTAAGAATGCACACTGAGAACTTTCTTGTGGGCAAACTGAAAGGAAAGCCATGTTAATATGGCAACAGGTTTAATGAACACATAATTACTTTAAAATATATTTAAGTAAATGGAGAAACACATCACATTCATGGATTGGAAAAGGGCTGATACTGTGAAGATGTTAATGTTCCCCAGAATGATCTGTAGATTCAAAGCAATTTCAATCAAAAGTCCAGCAGAACCTTTTTTTTTAATTGACAAGCTGATTTTAAAATCAGTAAGGATATACAAAGAAATGATAATAACCAGAACAATTAAAAAATAAAAGAATAAAGTTGGATGCTACTATCTGACTTCAAAGTCTGCTGCTGCTAAGTCACTTCAGTCGTGTCCGACTCTGTGCAAACCCATAGGCGGCAGACCACCAGGCTCCCCCATCCCTGGGATTCTCCAGGCAAGAACACTGGAGTGGGGTGCCTTGCCTTCTCCGGACTTCAAAGTCTAGGATAAGGTAATTAAGAAAGTACAGTAACAGCATAATAGACATACTGATCAACAAAACAGGAGAGAGAGAAGATTTTTTTTCCCAGTTATTTGATAAAGGTAAAAGGTAACAAAGGGAAAATCATAACCTTTTCAATTAATGGTGCCAGAACATTAAAGCAATGAGCTACCTCACATCACACTCAAAACGTATCACAGGTTTAAACAAAAAACTATAAAGTTTCCCAAGAAAATACGAGAAAGCTTTGCTACCTTAAGAAAGGCAAAGATTTCATATACAAAGATTCCAAGGAACAAACCAAGAAAGAAAATAAATTGATAAACTGGACTCAACAAAATAGAACAACTCCTGCTCTTTGAAAAACACTATTAAAAAAAATTAAAAGGACTTCCTGGTGGTCCAGTGGCTAAGACTCTGCGCTTTCAATGCAGGGGACCTGGGTTCGATCCCTGGACAATCCCACATGCCCCAACTAAAAATCTTGCCATATGGCAACTAAAGATTCCACATGCCCCAATTAAGATGGAAGATCCTGCTTGCCACAACTAAGATCGGGTGCAGCCAAATAAATCAATTAAATAAATTATCTGTTTAAAAAAATTAAAAAGCAAGCCACAGACAGGGATGAAATAGTGTTAATACAGGCCTGGACCCAGATTTGTTAAAAAAACATTAAGACAAACCAGCCAATTAAAAAACAGGCAAGGAAAAAAAAAACAGGCAAGGAACTTCTCTGGTGGTCCAGTGGATATGACTCTGTACTCCCAATGCAGGGGGGCCGGGGTTTGACCCCTGGTCAGAGAACTAGATCCCACATGCCACAACTAAGCCATGGTGAAGCCAAATAAATGAGTTTTTTTTTTTTTTAAAGGCAAAAATATCAACAGACATTTCACAAAAAGACATAAAAATATCCAAAAATCACATGAAAAGATAACTTATCAGTTGTTAAGAAAACAATATTTAAACCACAATGAGACACCACTATACTCACTAGAATATCTAAAAATTTCAAGTGTTGCTGAGGGGACATGATCATTAGAACTCTCTTATTCATTGCTAGTGGGAATGTAAAATGATACAAATATCTGGAAAACAGTTTGGGAGTTCCTTATAAAGAAGAACATACCTTTACTCCTAAGTATTACCTAAGCCACATGAAAGCATGCTGTTCACAAGAAGTTTTATACACAAATGTTCATAATAGCTTTATTCACAAAGGCCAGTAGTTGGAAGCAACTTGAACATCCACCCAAAGGTCACCAGAGTTGTAATCTGGCCATAAAAAGGAACAAAATACTAATATAGTGATATGGATGAACTCTCATAAACATTATGCTAAGCAAAAGAAATCACACACAAAAGGATAGATACTATTAATATATAATTTCATTTATATGAAATATAAGAAAAAACAAAACCATAGTAACAGAAAGATCAAGAGCAGTCTAGGCAGGGATAAGAGGAGTACTGCAAAAGGACACGAAAGAATTTTTGTTGGATGCTGAAAATGTTATCTTGATTGTGATGGAGGGTAAGTGACTACATACATTTTTTAAAATTCACTGAGCTATATATGCAAAACTGGATGTATTTTAACATATGTAAATTATACTTCAAAACTGATCAAAACCTCATTCATTAAATGTAATGTTTTGCTTCGCACCTAATACACATTCAGTAGGCTGAATAAAAATGGTAACACTAAACATTCTTGAAATTCCTTATGGATTAATACACTGAAGTTTGAATAAAGTATTGACTCTTGACGGTACACATATATACCCTATTTGTGTTCACTGAGTACTTACTCAACACCTACTTACCACATGCCAAGACAACATACAGGGAAGCAAATACAAAGAGGCAGAACAGAGAGAAGCCTATGTGTGACTCTATAAAAGAAAGACAAGATGTTTAAACTTACGTTGTTAGCAAGAACGCCCCATCACCACATCTTTCCAGAGCCTTTCGTGCAGGAGGCTTTGCTGCAAATTCCACAAAACCTTTTCCCGTAGCTCTACCACGATCATCCACAACAACAACAGCTTTCTCTACTGGACCAAACTGGGAAAATGCTTGCTCTAGAAGCTCATTGGAAACCACCGGAGAAAGGTTCTTAACAGTTAGGGCTGCTCCATGTGTAGCAAAACGAATTCGGAGAGGTCTGCTCTTCAAAATGGTGCCATCCAGCTCTGCTTTTGCAATTTCAGCCAGTGTTCTGGACTCCTTTTTAGGAAGAAAAAGATCACTTTTTAAAAAATTACAGTTAACAAAAAATTTTTAAATAGTGGCTTGTTTCTAAAGAGGGCTGGGTAGTTTTACAAAATGGCTGATAGGGTCATTTTGTTTCTGTGTCTTTCAGTTATGGTATCACACATATTTTATTAATTTTTTAAAGATAAGTAATTTTTAACATTTTAAGTTGAAAGTTCCAACCCCAACGTTCTGTTAAAAATCATCACTTAAAGATGATCTGTTCATAAACAGACTGCTATTATTCAGTCGCTAAGTCAAATCCAACTCTTTTATGACCCCATAGAGTGTAGATTACCAGCTATTAAATATGCAAGCAGTATCTTTTATAACTCGCCAAAATGTATTAAAGAAAATACAGAATTACTTTTTGAGACCAAGTATCAGTTACTAGAATCTAGTATTGAAAATAAGTTTCTCTATACACTTCATGTTTGTTATTTATATCTTAATAATGTGCACCACCTCTCCATTGCCAGACAAATCCCTTTTCATTTCCATTTCTTTTATATTATCTGTTAAAAAAAAAAAACTTGCCATCAGGTGTTATTAATCACTTCTTCTAAAACACTTTCATGGGCTACACATTTCTCCCACTAAGCTAAGAAAAGCAAATACCCATTCATGGGCTATAAGAAGTCTCTCTATTAAACAGAAAAGCAGGTACACATATCCTTATTATCATAAACTAGAGAATATGTTCATTGCTGAACTACAAGGTAAGAGAATTTCCTTCTTGAAGAACTCAAAAGTTTCTACAAAATACAGGCATCTAAAACAGCAAACTGGTAAACTTACTACAGGTATGTTCTCTTTCAGTTGTGAGAACTTCCAGCAAAAAACTGAAAGAGGCTTAATATACATTTTCTGAGAAGAGTACAAATTGCACTTTCTTATGAAAAAGTCTTAAGATCACAACAGCTTTTTATTCAATCTCTGAAATGTTCACAAGAGCTTTAAACTACTTCACTTATGTGAAAATCTACCTACAGAACTAATTTTACAAAAATAAATGAATCTAACCTCTTCAGATATTCAAAATGGCCATTTTATTACTCTTTTAACTCTGTAGTAGCAATAGTACCAGAACATTTCATAAATACCTAACAAGGGTTATGTCCTTTGAAGCTAAGATGTCAGTAATCTAACAACTCTTGAGAGGTAACTTTTAGGAATGGAGTCCTGGATTAGAATGCTGTCACACTTATAACTAGGAATGAGAAGAAACATGAGCAAATTTCATGGGGTGATGATGGTATCTTGATCTAAAATCACAAGATTATACACTAAGTATCTGTGCATCTCATTATATGTAGGTTTCAAATACCTTAAAAAACAAATTTGGACTCTAGTTAATGATAAGCATGCTTAACAGTCATGGACTGATGGATGGATTAAGATAGAGATGAACAGATACGTGAAAAAAATACAGCAAAATTTAATTGTAGACTCTAGGTATTGAATGTATGAATACTGAGTGTATCAATTTTCATTTCTAAACTCTCAAATTATTCACAACAGTATGTTTGTGGGCAGCGGAGGAGAGCGAGCCTGGTGAGGACTCTGTGAAGTGTTTCTAGAGAGCATCTCCTGTTCAGATTCAGTCAGATATAATGACAAAGTGTGACATGTCACTTTTCAAGATAAACAAGAAATTTTCATTTTTATGTTAAATCAAGTACTTTTTTTACTGTTGGCAACAAATACAATTTTTAATACTTTCTAGGACAAATAATAAAACGTTTATGCTCTCAAGAATTTCATGTCATAGTACATCTTCAAAGTTTATACTTTTGGTTTTAAATGGTTGTACATCAAACAGAGTTTCCCAGCCTCAGCATATTATGGACAAGATAATTTTTACTGTGGGGGCTGTTCCATGCACTGTAGGATGTTTATGCCAATAGAACCACCCCCCTACCACCACTGTTTAACAACCAAAAATGTCTCCAGACATTGCCACATGTCCTCTAGGAAGTAAAACCACTCCATTTGAGAACTTCTGCTCTATATGTGTACTGAAGTAACTATCAAGTCAATTAAAATTATGTACTTGAAACGAACCAAGGATTTCCTTACTTCATAGCTCAGGATAATGACAATAACTTTGACTAAGTGGTTATTACACGCCAGTCATTTATTCCTCCCCCATATATTAATACACATACACAGGTCTTTACTTATCCTTCATCAGCCTCACCAACAATCTCGTGAAGCGGGTTTTGCTACTATCCTCACTTCATACATAGGGAAAGAGGCTTATAAAGGTTCAAGTAACTTGTCCAAAATCACACACAAATCTGATTTGAACCTATACAAAATCCATAATCCATCAATACAGCCTTCCAGCTGTACCTCTGAATCACAGTCTGCATAAAACGTTGAAATTACAGGTTCTTAACTAAAGGAATACAAAAAACAAAAAGAAACTGAAGTTACTACCCCAAGAGAGACTGCTTGAGCTTGGGTCTAACAACCTCCACTGGTTCCACCTGCCACTTTCCAACAGCCACTACATCAGTAGTACACACTACAGCCATTATGCAGGAGAATTCTTTACCAATAAGCCACCTGGGAAACCCCACACCATTACTAATATTCAGATCTGGTACTTATATTCAGATCAAGAATGCAGTATGATTTTCCTAAACAGAAAAAAAAATGTGTAATAGCTCAGAAATATTTAAAGTTTTTAAATTTACCTGTTAAACAGAGTTCAGATTAAACACTAAAGTTATCCATGAAGTCAAATCTCAAACTAAATGGTAACTTCCAACTGAAAAATTTTTAACTTCTTACACAAAAATTTAGGCTGATGGCTCTGAAGAAGCATCTCACTTAAAAGTGCCACTTAATTAAGATCAGTTTTCTCCATATTAAGATTTTTGCCTTGTCCACTCGCGAAGAGAAAACCTATTAAAATACTTGAACCAAAAGATTTACTTCATAACTCAGGATAATAACTTTTGCTCAGTAGTTATTACAAGCCAGCCATTAATTCCTATTAAGGTTTGGATGAAACGGGAAAAAAATGCGTGCTATTCTACTACCACAGAGTGTAAGGGAGACACGGAAAAGCACTAAGTCCTCTTGGGAAGTTCCCTCACGCTAGCCACGCGACAGCCGCCCGACTCGGGATGGGGTGGGGGGGTGGGGAGGGAGGGAAGGTCTGAGGTGAGGGAGAGGTGACAGGGGGTCGAGGTGAGCCGGGGACAGAGGAGAGGCGAGGTCAGAGGAGGGAAAATGAGGAGGGACCTCGCAGCCCCCGAGTCCCTGGAGGCCCAAGCCCAAGCCCACCCCTCACCAGGCGGATGAAGCCGAAACCGCGATCGCGGTTGATGAAGACCTCGCTGGGCTCGCCATAGCGTTCGAACAACCGCTTGAAGTCGTCCTCGGTGATGTCCGTGGGCAGGTTCCCCACGAAGAGGCGGCAGCGCTGCGTGTAAGTCTTCTCGCCCGGCTTGAGAAAGCTCTTTATGTCGATGGTGAAACCACCCTCGTCAGCCGGCCGGTCCTCCCCGGCGGGCGCGGCGGGCACCGGCGGCTCCCCTGGCAGCCCGAGCGCCAGGGCCGCTGGGTCCCCCTCTCCGGCCGCCGACTCCAGAGCGCGGAGGCGCGCCGGGTTCTTCTCAATGCGCACTTGCTTCAGGTTTCCTCTCAGCATCATCTCAGCGCGTGCCCCCTGAGCCGGCCTAGAGCTCGAAATGCACGTCGGTGTCGACCCACGGAACAGAGGTCGGGAAGGACTAGCTCCGAGACACCTCCGGCCAGCCGCCCGCACTCACACCCAAGATGGCGCCGCTATAGCCGCGGTCGGAGGGAGAGACGCCACGCAAGCCCCGCCCCTCCGAGGGCGCGCTGAGGCCGATGCGCCTGCGCACTCCTGCGCCAACGCCGTCCTGGCGGCGTGCGCATGCGCACCACTATGCGCGCGTCCCTGTTCCCAGCTTTTCCAGGGCTCGGAAAGATGCAGGTTTTCAGTTCGAGATAACAGTGGTGGTCGGTGTTGCAGCAGTGTGTGAAAACGCAATGATTCAGGGAAACATCCACATTCTCCTTGACGTCCAGCTCTATTTTCAATGACAGCGGGAAAGTGAAGACTTGCAGATTTTATACATAGCATGAATAACGAAGTATTTCCCGGGAATTGAAACAAGTGAAAACACATTTCCGCCCTTTTCAAGAGCAAGGTTATTATATTTCGTAATGAAAAATCCAGTTCTATATAATAGTTGTGATGTTGATTATCCACCTCAAAGAAGGACTCCCTGAACTATGGACCACACTCTAGGACAGGGTCATCAAACGTTTTCTATGAAGGGCAGATGGCAGATATTTTAAGATTTTCAAGCCATATACTATGTCGGCCAAACTACTCATTCTGCGCGGTAGGTACCGCTCCCAGCAGGCACATGGTAGGTCTTCATTAAGTACTAAAAAGAAATGCATTCACGGTCACTTTACAAACCCTTCAGCAGTTTCTCGTGAATTTAAATGCTTACTTTAGAATGGGCAGTGTTGCTGTGCTATGCTTAGTCGCTCAGTCGTGTCCGACTCTGCGACCCCATCGACTGTAGCCCCCAGGCCCCTCTGTCCGTGGGATTCTCCAGGCAAGAATACCGGAGGAGGTTGCCATGCCCTCCTCCGGGAATCTTCCCGACCGGGGAAGATCTCCCGGGTCTCCCTCATTGCAGGTAGGTTCTTTACCCACTGAGCCACCTGGAAAGCCCAGAACAGCAATAATACTTAGTAAATCTGTCGGCCAAGATTTTGCATGAGACGTTTAAATTAAAAAATTGAAAAAAAAAAAAAGAAAAAGAAAAAAAAAATTGGAGAACGGCAATCCGTCTGCTATTTACCCGGCTGAAATGAAAACCTGTGTTCACACAAAGACCTGTATGAAAATGTCTATAGGGATTTTATTTGTAATCAACGAAAACTGGAAAGAACCCAAATGTCCAACTGGTGAATAGACTAACAGTGGTACATTCATATAATAGAACATATTCAGCAATAAAAAGGAAAAAACTACTGATAAACGCAATAATGTGACTCAAAGGCTACACACTGAATATATGACATTCTGGAAAACTAGCTACAGTGGTTGCCAGGAGCTGGAAGGGAGACTAGGTTGACTAAGCAGAGATACAGAGAACTTTTTGGAAAGACAAAAGTAAATCTTAGCAATTGCCTGACAGTCCAGTCCTTAGTACTCTGCCCTTTCATTGCAGTGGCCCCAGGTTCAATCCCTAGTCAGAAATAAGATCCTTCCCACGTCACTCATAGCTGATATTGTCAAATCTGTTAATTTCACTGAAGAAAAAGACAATCAGAAGAAAATTGCCTCATTCTATCCGCACCAAATCAACCCACTTAATTCCATATGTAACCATACATGCTGCCTTATGTCCTGTTATTAATAAAATGAATGGTCAAAAATCCCCTCTAAGGCCAAACCACTGGATGGCGTCTTTTAAGTGCTTTGCTTCTACAGTTACCTAATCCCCTTCCAAAGTGAATAGTTACTTGATCTAATAGTTAATGGATCAGTTCTGTACTGAACTATTCCCACCAGCAAAAGGAACTGTTGATGAAACTAGCATCTTTAAAAAAGGAAAAAACTCTTCCAGGACCATGGGTTGTCCTTTAGTTACCATTTCTTGTTGGAGAAGACTCTTGAGAGTCCCTTGGACAGCAAAGAGATCCAACCAGTCCATCCTAAAGGAAATCAGTCCTGAATATTCATTGGAGGGACTGATGCTGAAGCTGAAACTCCAATACTTTAGCCACCTGATGCGAAGAACTGATTCATTGGAAAAGACCCTGATGATGGGAAAGATTGAGGGCAGGAGGAGAAGGGGATGACAGAGGATGAGATGGTTGGATGGCATCACCCACTCAACAAACATGGGTTTGGGTGAATTGCAGGGAGGAGGATGGACAGAGAGGCCTGGCGTGCTATGGTTCGTGGGGTTGCAAAGAGTCAGACACTACTGAGTAACTGAACTGAACTGAGCTTTGGTCAACAAAGAAAGGAAACAAGAGTTGTGTTTGCTTTGTCTTGATTCACGCATCACCTGATTTCTCCTTCAGCCACAGGAGCAGATGTCTATCCCACATTCCATCCCACTGAAACCTCTCTTGTCACCATGGGCAACACCTCCCATTTGACCAGAGACAGCTGTCCTGTCACAGATCTTGTAGTAGCATTTGACATTGTAGATCTGGGCCTATTTCATCATGTGTCATATGGAAAAAATATCCTCTTTGCAGAGTTTTTGTGCCTATTAAATGAATTAATTCAAGTACAGTCTGTGACCTCCCTTGTGGTCCAGTGGTTAAAACTCCACACTCCCAGTGAAGAAGGCCTGGGGTTTGATTCCTGGTCAGGAAACTAGATCCCACATGCTGCAACTAAGATGTGGCACAGTTAAAAGTATATAGTCTTTGGGAAATATACTGGCATCAGAAATACAACTCTATTATTAATGATCACTTCCCTCATCCTTTCTTAAAACAGTGTTTTATCTTCTGCACTACAATATTCCCTGATATTCTCACAGCCACTGGTCACTCCTCACTCTCTGTCTTTCCTGGGAATCTGCACTTGAGAATGTTGGAGAACCACAGGTCTGAGTTCTCCTCTCCTCTTCTGCCACCCTCATTCCCTAGGTCAGACCATCCACACTGAGGTGCCTCAGAAGCATTGGAACGGGTTTTCTAAACTTCAACACTACTGATATTTTGGACCAAATGATTATTTATGGTAAGGAGATGTTTAGCTGCATCACTGGCTTCTACTTACAGGGGTGCTATTGTACTCGGCATTACTCTAATTGCTTTATACTTATTAACTCATTAATTATCACAACAATCTTTTAAGATATGTGTTATTATTATCACCTTAAAATTTTTATTTATTTTTGGTTATGCCAAGTCTTTGTTCCTGTGTGGGAGCTTTCTCTAGTTGTGGTGCTCAGGCTTAGTTGCTCCACAGCATGTGGAATCTTCCTGGATCAGTAATAGAACCCTAATCCCCTGCATTGGCAGGCATTCTTAACCACTAGACTATCAGGGAAGTCATCATCTTTTTTTAAGACTATTTTTTGGGGCAGTTTTCAGTTGGCTGCAAAATTAAGAGGAAGGAATACACTTTCCTTTACACTTCTTTCCCCTACACCTGCAGTCTCCTCTGCTATGAACATCCCCCACCAGATGGGACATTTGTTACAGTCCACGAGCTTACATTGACATGTCATTATCAACCAGAATTATGAGATGACATTAGGGTCACTTTTCATGTTGTACATTCTGTGAGTCAAATTATAATGACATATATCCAGCATTGTAGCATCACACATAGTATTTTCACTACTCTAAATCTCTTCTATTCTCCACTTATTCATCCCTCTCCCTATCTAACCCCTGTAACCCCTGATCTCTCTACTGTCTCCATAGTTTTGCCCTTCCAGAACATCTCAACAGAGTCTTCCTATTCATCAACATGGCATGTCTCTCCATTTATTTACTTCTTTGATTTCATTTATCAGAGATTGGTGGTTTTCCTCATATACATCTTCTAGGTAATTTGTTAATTTTTATCTAAGCATTCATTTGTTTTGGGTGGTAATGGAAGTGGTATTGTGATTGTAATTTTATATTTCACTTGTTCATTGCTGGTGTGTAAAAACATTACAGCCCATGAGGTCCCAGAGTCAAACACAAATTAGCAACTGAACAACAATAGCAACAACAACAAATTACTGACTTTTGTGTATTAACCTTGTATCCTTCAATCATCCACTTAAACTTATTTTTGACCATACTATGTGGCTTGTGGGATCCTAGTTCCCTGACCAGGGATGGAAGCCAGGCCCCCCAGAAAGTCCCTAACCAGGGAATTCCCCCATTTAAATACTTTTAATTTATATATGCCTTTTATTTAAAGTGGGTTTCTTATATGCAACATAGAATTGGGTCTTGCTTTTTGACCCACCCTGAAAATCTTTGTCTTCTAATTAGTGCATTTAGATCAATGATGTTTAAAGTGATTACTGATACAGCTTTATTACTATCAACCATTTTTTGGGAAAATTTATTTAAGTGCATCAGGTTTTAGCTGAGGCACTAAGGATCCTTTCTGGCAGCTAGTGGTCTTACTTGCACTACAGCATGTGGGATTTTAGTTCCCCAACCAAGGATTGAACCCTCGCCCCTGCATTGCAAGGCAGATTCCTAATCACTGGACCACTAGGGAGGCCCCTATCAAATTTTTATAATTTTCCACTTGTTGTTCTTATTGCTTGTTCCTATTTTTTAACAGTTTTTAATTAAAATACAGTTGATGTACAATGTTATGTTCATTACTACTGTACAGCAGTGTGACTCATTTATACACATATATAAATTCTTTTCCATATTCTTTTCCATTATGGTTTATCAAGTTCCTATTTTTGTATACCACTCTTTCTGCCTTTTGTGATTTTAATTAAGCATTTTATAGTTTGATTTTCTCTCATTCATAGCATATCAGTTGTATTCATTGTTCTACTTTAAGTGGTTGCCCTAGATATTGCCATATACATTTATTTACAACTAATCCTAAGACCACTTTCAAATTATACTGATTACTTCACTAGTAGTGTAATTTACAACAGTAAAATAATC